GCCGATGATGATGTACCAGGCGCGGGTCGGGTTTTGGCTGTTCTGCGCCGTTGCTTCCAACAACAACACAGAACTCCTGATTAGATGACAGTGAACCGTTGGGACAACAGGATCGTTCCGTAGAATTAGAACCCGCGCAGGCGTGGGTTTTATCTCGTGCCGGTGATGAAAAGTCATCGGACGGGGACGTTGTCGTTTTCCTTCGGCCTCTCTCTCCCGTTCAGACCGCATGCGATCGAGGCACAGCAACAGATCGATGCGGTAGGACATGGTGGTCCCCGGTTTTGTCCCGCACACACGTGTACATCCCCGAGTCTTCCGCCAAGAAATCTTCGACCTCCAGCGCTTTGGTGGCAGGGACCAGGCGGCGTCCTGTGGGGGTGTTCCAGACGTAATAACCCACGCTCCTTTCCACGGCAACCTCGGGTAGATTAAAGTCATAGTGCTCATTAACGTAGAAGGTGTTGGGGAGAACGCCGAAATAGTTATGCCGACCTTTGATGAAGAAAAACTTCATCACGAGAGTGCGGTTGCGTAGAGTGTTGACGCCGTAGGGTCTTATGTTGGGCCACACCGACACGTTCTCCACGTTAGGCGAGTCGTCGCGACTCGAGTCTTCCTCAGGACAGAGCAAAGGGTTTCCCTGGAACTGGTACGATGCGGACGGGTGGAGGGATTTGATATCTCCCGGTATCCGGCTGATATTGTTGACCATGAGCAGGACTAACATCAGTTGTTTACTAGGAATCAGCCGGATAGCCTCCCTGGGGAACACCGACAGTCGGTTCCCGGAAAGTTCCAGGAACTCCAGGCTTGCCAGACCGTGGAAGGCCCGCTCCGAGATGGCAGATATGAGGTTATTGGAGAGAAGGAGATCCGAAAGCGTGGCGAGGGCCGAAAAGGTGAAGTCGCGAAGAGTACCGATGTCGTTTCTGTCAAGATCCAAGACGAGTAGTTCCCGCAGAGTTTGGAAGGTTTGTGGAGAGAGGTTGTTTACCCTGTTGTTGTCCATGAACAGGTAACGGATGTGCGGGGTTGAGTGAAAGGATCCGAGGTGGGATATCTCGTTGTCGGACAGTCGGACTGTATGGGCGTCTGACGCGATGGAGTCTATGGGGACGTGCGTTAACTTACGGCCCGTATAATCAACGGTCTTCCCAACGGTAGTCGTCAGCAAAGTCAATACGAACAAGGAGGTCGTGGGCTGCATCTTCTGTATCTGTTTCTGTATCTGTATAGCCGGTATAACCGCCCTTCGGCGTACGTAACACACCAGCTTCGCAGGCACGCGGCGCGGCGGCAGCTAGCTATATCATACCGAACGACTTGTTACACTCACTCTTTGCATATCATTGCAGGAGTTGTTTAAATTTTGTGTCGTGCCAGCACACTCGGCAGACAAAGGCTAGCGCTTCCTCAGTGACGACTAAAAAACAAGCAATGAACAGATGTCAATATTCGATGGGAGGGAGGGTAGTAGCCTCATTCGCAGACTTTAAAAACAATGGCCCCTATTTTTTTTTATAATGAAATGTTGCAACTGGGCCAAGCATGGACACGTGCACGTGTCCGAACCATTATATATGCCATGGACAATAACACGTGTCTTATACAACAGTCGAAAAAACAAACCTCGAAAATCACAACACGTGAACAACGTGCTGTGTCCTTGGGTTCAACCTCAATTGTCTGAGTCATCTCTATATAAAAGTAATAGACTCTTTTCCTTTGTAATGTTTGGCATTCTGCGACATTAGTATCCTTTTCCAATTCCTTTTGCAATTTTCGGCATATTCAGCAGCTGCTTTGTGCGATTTATAGTATGTTTTTTGGGGGGAAACAGACAAAATTCATAGATCAAATCAACATAGCCATATATTGAGTCCCTGACCCGTAGACAATCAGGAGAAACACAAAAACACAAATTGTAACGTGTACATTTTTTTATTAAAACTATTTGGAGCAACCAACTTCCTTGACTATTTTGCTACATTGTATACACTTACGAAATGTTATACTTGTTTTAGTGACTGTAAACCATTAATATGAAGTGCAATACTGTATGAATGCTAGTTATATGTGCAATATCGTATGTTGTCATAACATTTGAATGCAATTCAGTGGCATCCCAACTGCAATGTTTGATCAATAAATATATCTTGAATCTTTAAAAAAAAAAGTGACATGGCATAATCAAGTTAGTAGTTTGCCCTGTGCCCTCCTCTTAGTATAAGAGGCAAACTAAGCCAAGAGATAAAGGGCTGTCCTAGGCTTTACCCAAGCTGCATCGACCTTTCATCTTGTATGTACGTTGCAATAAAGATTACTTTAAAACAACAGCATCAGTCGGGTAGTTCCATCAGGCTGAAGACCGTCACACAGTCCATGAGCCAGCTGACAGGAACCGTGCACAGTTTGGCCGTGCGGACCCTGGGCGGAGTCTTGGCAGATTTCTGGTCGTACAGGATGAAGTGTGAACAGTGGGCCAGGTCTGAGTCCTTACGGGCGTGGTAGGCAACTGTAGTCGAGGCCTGCAATAGGAGTTAGGAACAATCAGAGTTGCAGAAATGCACTAGCCTGACTACATAAAGCTTCTAACAGCCTTGCATATGGTACTAAGGTCATGGGTAGTGATGCATACCTAAAACCCAATTTTAGGTTCAGGTCCGGATTCAAGTCCAGAGGTTTAGGTTCAGTTCCGGACTTGTAAGTCCGGACCTAAACCCATGGCATATACAAAATTGCATGTTGGCAACCTTGCAATGTTGTCTAGGTGAATTTGGCCACACAACATGGAGGCCGGTACTTGACGATGCCCGATGGCAATGTTTTCTTCATTTTGCAGCAAATATTTTGCAATCTACGGAAGGTTTTAGGTGGTTTGGAAAGAAAAAGGGGTATGTGAAATGGTCTTTTATGGTAATAAGTCCGGACTCAGTTCTTGACTTTTAGTTTTTTTTTGGACTTGAACCTAAACATTCTTACAAGTCCGGATCCAAGTCCAGTGAACCGGTATGCAGCACTAGTCATGGGTTCAATTCCAAACTGAGTTATAGTTTGAAGTGGTGCGTACCACTTTCTCTACTTAGCAGGCATCATTTAGGAAAGAGTATGGTTAGAGTATGCCTCATTTAGACAGGTTACCTCCCAGTGGAATAGGTAGGCATCAAACGTGAACATTGATTTGGGTCAAATATCACACCTATGTGTGCGGTACTGGTAGAAACCAATGAATCACCTTTTGCAAACAGAATGTTGGGTTGAAAGGCACCGAAACTCAAATCACAATACTTGTCCTTTCAGCAGACACCACTACTAGAGGACTGGCTGATTGCTGCTTCAGACAGATTTTGTCATCCAGAATACATGTAGTTACTTTGGAAACCTTTACCTAACCAACAACACTGACCTGTAAGCAGTCACTGTCAGGTTTGGGTTCCCTGGTCAGCACCCCCCCTCCCCCGTCTGCGATCAGCTCTAACAGCTCCTTCCTGGGGGGGGTCGGACTCTGGAACTTTCCGTGCAGGAAGAAGTGACAACCATCGAACAGCCCTGGCAGCTGAGGAAGGGAAAAAAATTAATTCAAGATTATTTGAAAACTTGTAGGTATTCTACAATTGTACAGTACCACTGATGTATTGTCACAAGTTAGAGTGTGTAAGATTAGGAAAAAATATAAATCATTGTGCCATAAAGGTACAATCTTCAATCATGTAAGTCAGGAAAATGACAGCATACAATGCTATATGTATGGTGGAATTTAGATGCTTGTACAGTACATGTACATGTAATCTGTGGTCTGTGAAAAATCTGCGAATGTGACATTTGATTGTGATAACAAGGAATTCTTAAAAATCTCTAGCTCTGAATCTGTGAAAGCCTTGGGCTTAACAAACAAACAAACAAACAAACAAACAAACAGACAAACAAACAAACAAACAAACAAACAAACAAACAAACAAACAAACAGACCTGTTGTTCCTTGTTAATCCACCCCTTGCTGGCCCCTGTACTGCCAGGTTTAGCCGTGGTGCCCAGGACTTCATACGGCCCCTCAGGTACGCACTGCTGCTGCTCCAGACAGGCAGACACCCCTGCACACATACAGAGAGAACATTCAAGTCTATTGGGCTCTGGACTAACTTAAGTTTAGAGTTACAATAAAAAATACACTAGAAAGGTAATATTTGCAAAGCAAATGCATAATGTTGTATGCTGTTAATTCTTACTCAACACACATTCATACATATGGTGACTGACAGGAGTCTAAATCACTCCTGCTATAAAATTGCAACATGATATAAGGACCCAACACTAGTTACCATGGTGACAGACTTCTGGTCCAGGTCATTGACATTACTTGTTTGGAGAGGAGGAAGAAGAGGAAGAAGAAACAGAGCAAAAACAAATTATGTTTTCCTTCTGAAAAGGTAAACATAATGATGTCATTTACCACTGGCAGAAAACAGGAGTTAAGAAAAAATGAATTGCAGTATCAAAATGATATTGTTATTAAAGATATACACAGCAGAAGCATTTCTGGAAGCCCGGCAGTAAAGCTAGCCTCACATTTGAAACTGACGATCCACTTCCCGGTGAGAACCCCGCGGAGGTACTTCATAGTGCGAGAACAGTGCCCGGCTTCGTCACAGGCCGCTACCAGATGGGTCACTGGATAGGGGAAAAACAAGACATCAAATGATTCTTTTACTTTCATTGCTGTTATTCACTGACTGTGCACAACAAACAAACAAACAAAGACCTGTGGCACGTGTGTAAACTCACTCACTCACTCATGTAGTTTGTCAGCTGTAGGGGCAGTCTGGCAGTCCACAAAAGTTTTGAAAAAAATCCCTCAGTTTTTGTGTAGAAATCTACATTGTACTCATGTATTATACATGTAAGTATGGCATTTTCAAAAATGCTTTGAATCAGTTTTACTTATGGCATTCCTACCTTGGTTGCTGAATGTTTTCACCACTTTTCCATCCAGGACCAGCATGCATTGCTCCAGGGCTTCCCTCTGTTTGTTGTCCAGCCCTGTTGCCAAGGCAACGACCTGGCCGACCTGGCTGCTTGTTGTCATGACAACCTGAGACATCAAAACCATTGTTTGAAACTTTATGTCAAGGTCAAGGTCAGTAGGGAAAGTAACAGACTAACAATCAGACTGCATTTCTAACAATCAATTTCTCACAGTTCTGTACGGAAAAAAAGACTTGTGGTTGTGTGTGTAAAGAGTTGTTGTATTGAGAGTCTCTCTATCCTATGCCTCTGTTATGTTCCCAAAATCATATCCAGTTGCTTGAGTAACTGTTTTTTGGCGTATCTTATCACCTGGATGTCTAACCTTCACCGACATACCCCTATGTTAGTACATGGCTCAGAGTTAGTATATGATGTACCTGTGGCTGTGTGTGTAGAGGCTTGGTGCTGAGGGCCTCCTTCATGGCCTCAGTAGTGGCAAGGTCCCCTGGTAGGAACCCAAGTTTGTTCCTGTAGAGGGAAGAAGACATGTAAGAGTACAACCACACAGACGGAAATTAAATAGTGTTAACAGATTCAAATTAAAAACAGGAGCTAGTACACAAGTGGTGTGTTCAACTGCCATACTCTTTCCCAAAATGAGAGAAGCAACATGTATGAGTTTTCAAGTTGTTGGTACGACTCGGTTAGGAGGGATTCACATGCAGGCAAAGCAAAACTCTCCCCGTGACATTTACTGAACCTCCCCTTGACCCTACATGTAGTCAACCCCTCACCTGACATCTAGTGAAGCTCCCCTGGACACCAGTAACCTAGCAACCTCCACCCTTCCGTTGGCCACAGCGTCGTGGAGGGGAGAGTCGTTTTCGAATGCGGTGGTGTTGATCAGCGCGCCGTGATCCAGTAGAACCTCCGCCACCCTTGTGTGTCCGTGGTTTGATGCCTCATGCTGCATGGGAAAAACAAGAAAATGTACATTCTCCACCTTAACCTGCAGAACATCAACCCACAGGACAGAGGCAAATGGCTGGCTGCCATCAAGCCTCAGCATCAGCGTGCAAGCACGTCTAACCCTCTGATGATGGAGAAATAACAGAATGATGATAAACCGAATAGTGAGTGAGTGAATTGGTGTACTTTGTCTTTGGGAGAGAAAACATACTTTAAGCAGCACTTTAGCAGAACGTACAATGTACTACACCTGAGTGGATCTAATAATGTATTGTGCATATCACTTTGTGGTATTTGTGCATACAAGAATGAAACTTTGGACTCCTCAGTAAAAAGTTACAGTATGGTACATGGCATACTGAGTTATTTTGTCATTCGAGTTACCATCATACATCAACCTACTACTGACCAATGGTGTCCATCCTGCATTGTCCCTGACATTGGGGTCAGCACCTTCTTTCAGTAGAAGTAAAACTGTCTCCACATCTCCCTGTAAAACACACCACAACTACAGGTTAGAGGAATTTAATGTGAAGAAGTTTAGACATCCAGGTACAACAATACTACCACTTCTACCAGTGTCCAAAATATCACTTCTGTCAAATGGCAAAATAACATATACTGGCAAGAACACTGCATAGTCACACATGAAAATGGAGGATGGTTAGTACTTTCAGAGAAGTTGCTTGTCCAGTTGCTTGATTTCGGATTTTTAAAAAATTTTAGATATTAAAAACCTGGGCAAAAGGAAATTCTAGGTTCCTCCTGACCTTGATGGCTGCCAGGTGCAGCGGTGTCTCCCCTCTCACGTTCCTCTTCATCACATGACCTGGTGACCCCCGTGGGCTTGACCTGTGACCCCTGGGGGTCAGGACTGATGACCTCCTGCCCTTTGACCCTGCCTTACTTTGTGGAGTGGTAACAGGGGATAGGCTAACTCTCCCTTCATCTTTTGTAACGTTTCCTCTTGTTTTGTCTCGGTTATCAACTTTTCTCCTTAAGGTGTCGGCACTTTCTTCATCGTCTTCTTCTAGACTACTGTTGACTTTCTTGTGAACTTTCTTTAAAGGTGTGCTATCTTCATCTTGCTCAGACAGCAGTGCTTTCCTTGGTACTGGAGATTTTCCCCTCTTCTTGAGACCTGCCTTTGGGGTGTCACAGCTCTGAGGAGAATTCTCATTTCCTCTTGTAGAGGTGCCGACCTTCTCCACACTCTTATCTCTGTCACTAAGTCTTCCACTCCTCCTCCTTCTCTTCTTACCTGTTTGTTCACCAGATGGAGATGCAGTGTCTTGCTCTTGAGGTTTTCCAGTGTGTAACTCCTGCAGCATCTCAATGTCTTCAGGTGTAGAAGAGTTCTCTACCTCAGTGGTAACCTCTTCTTTTTCTTCTTTACTTCCTTCCTCCTGAAGGGCAACAGCCTCAAGATGTCCGTCTGGTGTCTTCTTTGAAGTTTTCAGCTTCTTATTTTTGACAGATACAGGCTTGTCACCTTGTGCGACTTCCCTTGCAGCTGGCTCTTTGCTCTCTTCATCCTCTACAGACATATCCTCTGTGACTGCCTCTTCCATTCCTTCATTCCCCACTCCTGTACAATTTTCTACCTCCATCTCTGCTTCTTCCATTCCCCCATTCCTCATTTGTTCCATCTCTTCCTCTTCAGCTGCTTCTTCAGTTCCTTTGTTTCTTGTTCCTTCACATTTTTCCTCCTCCTCCTTTTCCACTGCAAAGCAAACCCTCCTGACAAGGGAGTTCTCCAATTGGCTCTTCCAGGGACTGGACCTCCTCCCTTGTTTCTTCTTCCTTCCAGAATCTGAGAACCCCCACTGCTGGTTCTTGTCTGCTAGTCCTTCTTTGGTGACCCGTCTGAACCTTCGACCTGCCCCCTGACCCGACCCCTGACCTGACCCCTGACCTGACTTCTGACCCACCTGGCTAGGTGCTGGGAAGAAGTTGAAGGAAGCAGGATTTTTCAGCTTTCTTCCCGTCTGCTTAGAGGCCTTCTTCGCACGAGTGGGAGACCCGTGGAAGTCGAACACTGACAGAGGATCAGGCGGTTTAGATGCAGACTCTTTCTCACTCTCTGCCTCTGAACTGTAGTTGTCTTCTGCGTAACTCTTCTTTGTCCTTGCTCTCAAGGTGACCTGGCACTTCTGTTTACTGCCACCCCGTTTCTTGGTGGCCTTCTTACCCTGATCCTTGGTGGGTGTCTGAAGCTCTGGGACATCTTCCTTATTTTCTTCAGAAGGATTTTTCTGGGTGCTTCCTTGAGCAGGAGTTTCCTTCAAAACTGTCTTTGGCTGGTCTGTACAGGGTTCATCATCAGGCATGTTCTCCATCACACCTTTGTGGTCCTGCTCTACTGGATGGTCATCAGTCATCTCCTCCATCACACCTACGTGGCCCACTTTAGTGCCAGCTTCCTGCTCCTGAATTTCCATCTCAGCATTTGACATCGAAATCTCTTCTGTCTGCTTCTGGTCAGTCTTTTCCATATCTGCAAATATAAAGACAGAACACCCTATGTACTTAACTGCTTTTACTTGAATGTTAATGTGACTATTGAAGCTGGTGTGCTACGCCAAAGGGCAGTCATACTGGCTATACAGATACAGATGACAACCTTGAAAAAGGCACAAATCATCTCATTGGACACCCTATCATATGACCTGGACAGTTCTTATGCATAAAAATTAGCGATGATGATTTCAGTCTTTACAATGGTATTTTTTTTGGTAATTACTTGTTGTATATAGCTATTATGTAAGGCATCAAAACAAACAAACCATTCTCCTGGGGTTCCGCTGCAGTTGTCCCGTCCAGGACAGCTCGTAGCTGCCCGGTGAGACTGACCAGTGCCTCCAGCCGGCGGTTGGTCTGGACATCTCTGACCCAGGCTGGCATGTCGCACACTGGGCAGCTGTTCCCTACGTCCTGCCACACACATGACCTGGGGTGGGGAGCGGGTCTAGGTTCACTGGACTTGTTTTAGCTCTCAATATCAACCCAAACTACAGGTATGTCGTCAAACTTGCCCAAGCAACCATAAGGACGCTTTTTCTCGGTCTAAGTTTTTTCCACATAGCCACTTGCCCATTTGTGACCACGACTGGCACTATTTGGGACCATACATAATTTGTACGTGACCCAGTCTCTGCCCATGACCACCTCATCATTTTCACGTTTTTTGATGATGACTAGCAAGGATATATAATTTCTACGCTTAAATATAGTAATAATCATCAAAAAGAAAGATATCACATATTTTATTTATAATATTCAAATAGATATCAAGATGATAGCCGTGGCGACTCTTGACTCGGGCTTACATTGCATTACCCTCAGCAAGAGTCGTGGAAAGATCCATTGGCAGAACTGCACATTTCCCGTTGGCTGCTCGATGCTCCGTTTTTGACCCGGTTTTTTTGCTGTCCCGAGCTTCCCTACAATATAACTCCACAATTGGCCGGGTTGCCGATGTTCAGATCGGCCTAAATATTCCACAGCGCGACGGGAAAGTACTAAAATAGCTAGTCGGTACATCCGCGCCGCCATTTTGGATATAGTCCGGAATGTCCGCTACCGCCGTCGGGAACGCTCGGTAGGCTTTCCGGTTATGATCGGAGAGTTTTCGGTCCCGCTTCGGTAATCGTGGCGCTACCGAGCGTTCCCGACGGCGGTAGCGGACATGCCCGACTATATCCAAGATGGCGGCGCGGATGTACCGACTAGCTATTTTAGTACTTTCCCGTCGCGCTGTGGAATATTTAGGCCGATCTGAACATCGGCAACCCGGCCAATTGTGGAGTTATATTGTAGGGAAGCTCGGGACAGCAAAAAACCGGGTCAAAAACGGAGCATCGAGCAGCCAACGGGAAATGTGCAGTTCTGCCAAATGGATCTTTCCACGACTCTTGCTGAGGGTAATGCAATGCAGGGCCCGAGTCAAGAGTCGCCACGGCTATCAAGATGCATGTTTTTACCTGCAGAAAAGATGCTCACAGCTTCCGAGAGAGCAGGGCTCCTTCAATAGATGACCACTAGGAAATGGAACATGTAAGGTTATAACTGGGGCAGACCTAAAAGTAAAGTTTGTTAATCATGGGGATTTTGCCGCGTGATCTTACTTCATGCGGAAGAGACAAAAAGATACAGATATGTGGCGATTGAAAGCTTTCTTTACCATTTTCCGCACTTCAAAAGGCACTCTAACTTCGCCAAGGCTTCCTTAGTGTGATCCCAGGCCCAGACTCCACTCTCAGTCGCCATTGTGGAGGTAAAAGTCGGGAAATTTTGCCAAGATATCGATGTTTTCCCTCCCTATTTCTGTTTCTCCCGCCACCAGGGAATGACCTGCGCGTTGACCCCTGCGCAAATTTTACAGTATGTGCCGTGCAGCAGCGCCGCCTTCTGATGTTCACCTAAAGTGCAATATTAACTAGTTACATGCTCATGTATTTACTACAGTGGTATCTAAAATGTGTGGCGTCGCGTGGCGCAGTGGACAGAGCGTTCGGCGCTCAACAAAGAGCCCCGGGTTCGATTCCGGGTCGGAACACAGGGGCATGTCCGAACATGCGCACCGACGTTGTGCCCTTGGGAAAGGCACTTTACACGTATCCCCCCTCAAATAGAGGGACAAGTCTCCAACGGCAGTTGTCTTCAGCTGGCGGACGAGAGCAGCGCCAGGCGGGCTGGCGTGATCAAGGCGGACCTTGAGCGTAACCAAGTCATCCGGCAGCTCGCTGCAAGCATCCCAACCGGAACCAGCACGTCTCCCTCGATGTGGATCCGCTGGGGAAGACGGGTGCCCAAGTGTGTGGGTCTCAGATTCGCAACCTGTTATCCACCTTAAACAAATTCACGCGAAGGCAGCCGTGTCAACTGTAACCCTCACTCAGGTGTAGGGACTGACACGGTCATACTACTCGGAAAATCTGTATATCTGTATATCTGTACATGAATCTGTATCTGTACATGAATATGTACCTGTACATGAATCTGTATCTGATTGCAAATAAAGATATCGAGTGATTGCCATAGATAGAGATCTAAAATGTACCACGATGCAAATATATACAGATGTAACGTTTCATACAGTATTATTCTAATACACTATTTTATATTACTATACAAAACAAAGATATAGAGTGTGTATGAAGTTTTAATGTTTCACATACAAGCAACGTTGATGACAGAAATATTAGAAGTTTAGACATTATAAGTGCTCATGACAACTGTACATAGGATACAGTGGAGAATATCTTGATAAAACAACAAAATGTTAACATTGAACTGCAATATTTAAGTCCAACAAAATTGGGCTACTTTCCACCTAACAAACATCCATAATTTCTACTGTAGATTCTGACTACAGTAAACTTGTCTTGCCATAAGTGTTGTTTATACATGGTCTGGCTTATGCATTTTGTGTGACCTACTCCCACAATTTTTAAGTGTTTCAACTTTAGAAACTAGACTGATACATTCTTCTATGAGCTGTTAAGCCTGGGGTCAGGAGTTGGGGCATGTGTATAATCTTAATTTCATGGATGACATCTTTTTGATAATAAGAACATTTACAGCAGTCCGATTTCTTTTGATGGTTTACAAATGTGTAATTACAATTTCATGACATTCTCTCATTTTGCACTACCTTTACCAAGTCACTACTAGATTTGATCATGTTCTTTGAGAATTGTCTCTAACCCTTGCCCATTAGTTTACATACATGTTGTAAGCATTTTCCTTACTGCCAAACAAGCCAAAATCAGCATGCATCCATAAAATTAGCCTAGTGACTTGATAATCATAGGCAGTATCAAAAGACAAAGTCTACATTCCTGTACAACTTAGTGTAGTATATACATACATTTTTACACTGCCAAGTTGGGATGACTAGAAAGCTTGTGAGTTTAAAGGCATCCAACGCAATTTCAGGGCAGCAAAACTGGATATTTTAAGTCAATCTTCTGATCATCAAGTTGAATTAACCTATCACATAGCATACTGATATCTGTGACGCAAAATTTGATGTCACTGATGGAAAACGGTTGCTTGTTTTGTATCGTGGGCTGGTTCTAGCTATTTATTAGTGGCCGCCCTGAAATTACTTTGAATATCATTAACACTGTATTCACTGTATAGTCTGGGTGGTACACTGTAAGCAAATCACAGATACATGTACATAGACTGGGGGTGAGTGTGAGGTTCATTGAAAACCATTTCTGTCTTTCTGTTAATATACACACAACACACAAAAAAAAGATTGTGTACAAAATATTACATACACTGGTAATATATGAACATCAAGTTCTGAGTTCTTAGCACCATCAAAGTAGTGTATTGTTGATCCCATAACTTCAATAAACATAAGTAAACACAAAAAGTTAAAACATAAGGGTAGACACTCCGATCTGTTAGGATCAGTGATTCTATCAGTAGCCTCAATTTTACCAGTTGAGATGCTGATCTGAGTATCTGTTGACAGAGAAAGGAATCAGGAAGCTAGGAATGTGTTTGGGTAGTTTGTCATTGTGAATCCTGAGTTTTAAGTGAATCCATTGATCTAAACTGACATGAATTGGAGCTGAGAAGTTGCAACTGTCTTTTATGCGAGTATCTTAAAATTTCAATGGGGATATCTGCCGGTAGAATTCTGAACAGAGACAATCATCAGAGTTTCTGTTGAAAAAGACAAGAATTAGGATCTTTACTGGTAGAAATGCTGATTCTACTAGATCTGGAGTCTCTACCCTGATGTACAATTAACAATAACAGAAGCATAACGCAACATAATACTGAAGTGCTTGCCTCATCAGGAGCAAGGTGTTAGTCTACACAGTATCTTTCTTATCTTATGGTCTCTTGGCTTTTTCAAAATTATCGTTTTGGAGACAAAAATGTGAGAAAGGGTACAACACAACATCTTACAAATGTTGATTCCAAACATAAATGGGAGAAAGGGAAAAAGATAGATCCACATTTCACCTTCCCAACAACTACAATTTGTAGGATAGAGTTTTAATATCTCCAAGGTATACAGGTAATTTGGATAAAGTGCATTCTTTGTTCCTTTCTGTTTTTCCTTACAGATACAGCCATGATTGTATTTTTTTTCTCCATTAATTCCAGCAGTTTAAAAAGTGCATCAAAAAGGAGAAGAGTATTGCTAAGCTACACAAAGCACAAGGTAAAGTATAGTGTGAAAATGGCTTTTTGACAGAAAAAAAGTTTTTTTTTCAAAGATTTCAGTTGAATGATTGTTCAGTGCATTTGACATGCATGGTAACTGAACTGCATCACAGTGCGAATCTGTGCACAAATGCGGTGCTTCTTTCTTTCACCCCGCCCTGATGACAAGCACAGCCTAAGCTTCCCTGGGTCTGATTGAATCAGCTTCGTCGAATGCACTGCTACATGTCTGTGTGAATGTGCTTCAGTTCAACGAGGGGCTAATGTCGTTGTCCCAGAGCACCTCCACTCCAGGCCACTTGGTTGCCAGGCAGGTTTTGATAGCGGAGTTGTCTGTTGTCACACACTTGACTTCCCCCAGCTCCTGTATCATAGCCTTCCCTTCCTGGTACTGAACCTGGGGAAGTGGGGAGGGGGGCATTTGTAGTTAGTACATGCGGCAATGCTGTTTTTTATATTTCAAGGGCAAGGTGCTGAAACCTTTATATTTCAAGTTGAATAAACAAGTACAATTACGTCGATGAAGGTTAGACATCCAGGTAATACAATACGCCAAAAAGCAGTTACTCAAGCTTAATCATATCCAGTTGCTTGAGTAACTGCTTTTTGGCACAAGTACAATTACATTTGTAAATAGCATTCTCTATATTCCAACGTAACCATTTTCTGCCACTGTGCATACAGGTATATTAGACTATTCTTAATTTTAAATGCCTTTTCAAGTTCAAAATGGTGACTTAGAGAAACTTTGAGAACTGATCATCATATCATTCTTCTGTTCTATCCACTACTTCTAGACACAGGTGTGTATTTACCTTTCCATTGTTTGAGGATCTCTTCAGCCCATTGTAATGATAAACTGTGAAAGACTCTGGAATGGGTGACTTTTCCTGAAAATGAAATAAGTCTTATTATATAAGTAAACACTTGAGCATATAGTGGTACACGAGTAAATCACTTAAGAATTTTTTTCTAGACTTCTACTGAATAAAGAACAGGAAATTCTTGTAGTTTCAAGTCGAGCCCTGACATACAAGAATTTTTGTTCTGGACTTCTGAATAAAGGAAAAGAAATTCTTGTAGCTACAAGAAGTTTTATGTATGTTTTATAGTGTACATGTAAATTTGTTCTTACCTCATTAGCAAAGAACTCCTGCATGAACTGTTCCAGTACAATAATGCCCAGCTGTTCTGAGTCCAGTTTCTTCTGCATGATGTCCACACTAGGAAGGCAAACAGAAGGGGGAGGTTAGGATATGTCTTCATTTATCATGTACTTCTGATTGAGCACGAAGTATGTGTGCTCTTTAAGCTAAGCATCAGCACCAGGAGCTATACCACAGGCTGGCAGAAGGTGGAGAAAGGCATTGCCATGGGGTGTTCCATTTCACCATTATTGTTCATCATGGGATTTGAAGTTCTCCTGGTTGGTGCCAAACAGGTGGTGGGAGGAGTCAAGGCACCAACGGGGAGGAGGTAGTGCCAGCACTCCGTGCATTCATGGATGATGTGACAAGCATTCTCCGTACCGCACCCGTGCACAAACGTCTGCTGCAGAGACTAGAAGAACTGACTGGATGGGCGGGTATGCAGTTTAAACCCGCGAAGTCTAGAAGCCTTTCTCTTAGGAAAGGAGTGATCAGCAACAGGACCTTCTCAGTAAACGGCCAACAAATCCCGAACATTCAGGAAGAACCAGTCAAGAGTTTAGGCCGGCTGTATACAAGTAGTCTGAGTGACAGAGGTAGAGGCCAGGACGTAGTCAACCAAGCATGTAACAGCCTGAGACTTATTGATAAGTGTGAGTTACCAGGAAGACTGAAAATCTGGTGTGTACAGTCCAGGCTGTTTCCGAGACTCAAGTGGCCACTTAAGACATATAGCATCTCTTTATCTACAGTCGACTTAATAGACAGAAAGGCCAATTCCTACTTCAGACGTTGGCTAGGAGTGCCGAGATGCCTGTCCACGGTTGCCCTGTTTGGCAGAAATAAGCTAAACCTTCCACTTACATCCATTGCAGAAGAGTTCAAGCTCGACAAGGTCCGACTTTCCCTGGAGCTGGAAGGGTCCCAGGATGCTTCAGTGAGAGCAGCGAACAGAGGTGTAGACACAGGGAGAAAGTGGAGTGTGGAAGACACCATTGAGAAAGCTGTGAGCAGACTGAAGCACAAGGACCTGGTAGGGGCAGTGCAAGTAGGAAGAACCGGTCTAGGTTGGGGTGAGAGTACTCAGAGATGGAGGAGTGCCAACCCCAGGGAAAGGAGGCAGTTGGTGACGCAAGAGGTTAGAAGGATGGAGGAGGAGGGCAGGATGGTGACCGCAGTTGGCCAGAGCCAACAAGGAGCCTGGTTAAACTGGGATGGTGTGGTCGAGAGAAGGCTCACATGGACCGACCTGTGGAATATACAGAGTGCCAGGTTGAGTTTCTTAGTGAGAGCAGCGTATGACGTCCTCCCCACCCCTCGTAACCTCACCCGGTGGTATAGGAATGAAGAATCTTGCCAGCTGTGCGGGGTAGCTCAAGCCGACTTGAAACACATTCTGTCAGGCTGCAAGATTGCTCTGCAACAAGGGCGCTACACATGGAGACACAACAAGGTGTTAAGACAGCTAGCTGTGAAGCTCGAGGAAGTAAGAAACGAATCCTCCAGAACATCATCATCCTTTCAGTCTATCCAGTTTGTGAAAGAGGGTCAGAACCGAGAGCAACAGCAGTCACTGGTACAGTTAACTCAGGAAGCAGTATTCTGTGCAGGGGAAAGTGGGAGATGAGAGCAGACTTGGACAGGCAACTCCACTTCCCGAGTACCATCTGCGAGACATCTCTTAGACCGGATCTAGTTCTGTGGTCCGAGGATCAGAAAGCTGCACTCATCATTGAACTAACCATCCCGTGGGAGGAGAATGTGCAAGCAGCATTTGAAAGAAAGAAGCTGAAATATGATGATCTGGTCCAGCAGTGCAAGCAGAAAGGATGGCAGACACGTTTATACCCAGTAGAAGTCGGAGTAAGAGGATTTGTAGGGGCTTCCTTCATGCGTCTGTGCAGGGTCTTCAACATCAGGGGAAAAGCCCAGACACAGCTCACTAGGCAGGTGTCTGAAGAAGCAGAAAGAAGCAGTTTCGTGTTGTGGCTGAGGAGAAAGGATAAGGCGTGGAAGTCCTTCCAGAGAAGTGGCGACAGTGCCTGAAGCGGAGCAGGGACGCCTGCTTCGTTGCCCCACCCCCCAGAGACGTCTTAGGCAGAACGGGGCGAAACGTCGAGGAAGGGAGGCGTCTAACTGATGAGACGGCACTGGAGACACTTGGAACCTTCCGTGGTGCTGAGAAGCACGCCAAGCTCAGCAGCAGCTAGGCAGGTCAGTTCTGATCTGTATGTCCAATTTACCTCTCTGGATTGCCCAGTGACCACCAGGAACAGGCTGGTTGACCACCAGGAACAGGCTGGCTGACCACCAGGAACAGACTGGAGACCGCAGGGAGAGACCTGCATGGGGACGGGGGGGCTCGTAACCCAACCTCGTCTGACCATCACGGATGGTCACCCGACCTATTACAGCGAGTACTAAAGAAAGCCAGCCCCGGGGTCCAGCGAGAGCGGGGAAGCGAGATGGACCCATTGGACCAGACCAACAGGTGACGAATAAGGAACGAACTAAGGACCAAAGAGAAAGAGCGGTGATGAGGACATGCAGCTGCGGCTGGCAACGCGTCACCACGTATAGGGGTCTACGTATTCATCAGGGGAGGATGAAGTGCCAGGACCGGATGCAGCGCACCCGCACAGCGATTGCTGGTCAGACGAACGAGGACAGGGGGCGGGTAGCAAACCACAGACCCCAGGACTTCACCAGCGGTGCGTCTGCTCCTGGCAGCGGTGCTTCCCCGGGGGAGCCGAGACCAGATACAGGTGTCCAGCACCCAACCGAGGCACCAAACCTAGAGCCAGTAGAGAGTATTCCCCCTGAAGAAGAAGTTACAAGAAGTCAACGTGTAAAGGAGGTTGAGTTCGTCAAGAAGGAGAAGATCAAATGGCCCAAAGCCAACAACAGGGCAGCGTGGGAAGAGCTAGATAGCGACCTTAGCAATGTCCTGGAACAGGGGCTCAAAGGAGACATTGATCGAAAGCTGAATAGTGTAGGGGAGATGGTGTATAACTTCTGCAGTGAAAAGTTCGGAACACTAGCGGTTGGAGAGCGTCAGTCTAGTAGTAACAACAGGTTTGGTAGGAGAGAGAGAGAGATACTCCAACTTGTTCGTCGAAGGCGCCAGTTAAGGAAGTTGTGGAGGAAAGCGAGCCCGGAGGAAAAAGTCGGTCTCCAAGTGCTGTGGGAAGAAGTTAGAACCAGGCTGAAATCCCTGAGGAGGGCAGAAAGACTGAGAAAGAAGCGGAAGAGGAAGCAGAAACAACGGGCAGCGTTCTTTAAGAATCCGTATAAATTCGCTAGGGGCCTGCTAGAGGAGAAGAAAGGGGGTTCCCTTAGTGTCGGAAGAGAGGAGTTAGAAGCCCATCTAGAAGAGACATACACAGATCCAGAAAGGCACAAGCCACTAGGGCCGCCTGGTTACATCCCGAGACCGGCCCAACCGTCAGTTCCCATGGACATCTCCCCACCCAAGTGGAGTGAGATAACAACAGCGATTCGAAGGGCCAGAGCATCCGCAGCTCCAGGACCAAACGGAGTTCCTTACAGGGTGTACAAGATGTGTCCAAAGACCCTGTATATCCTCTGGAAGCTCATGCGTGTGGCTTGGAGAAAACAGTGTGTGCCTTTGGCCTGGAGGAGAGCAGGGGGAGTTCTGATACCCAAAGAGAAGAATTCATCTTCTATCAAGCAATTCAGGAACATTTCCTTGCTCAATGTGGAAGGCAAGCTGTTCTTCACTGTGCTAGCCAAACGACTCACCAGTTATCTGATTTCCAACAATCTCATTGACACAGAAATCCAGAAGGCGGGAATCCCAGGATTCCCAGGTTGCACAGAACATGCCAGTACGATTTGGAACCAGATCCAGCTTGCTAGGAGCAGAAAGGAAGACCTTCATGTCGTCTGGCTGGACTTGGCAAACGCCTATGGGTCTATTCCACACAAGGTCATCCAGTATGCATTGGAGTTCTTCTGGGTACCAAAGGAAGTGAAACAGATGGTACACAACTACTTCTCTGACTTTAAGCTAAGCATCAGCACCAGGAGCTATACCACAGGCTGGCAGAAGGTGGAGAAAGGCATTGCCATGGGGTGTTCCATTTCACCATTATTGTTCATCATGGGATTTGAAGTTCTCCTGGTTGGTGCCAAACAGGTGGTGGGAGGAGTCAAGGCACCAACGGGGGAGAGGATGCCAGCACTCCGTGCATTCATGG